AAGCTATTCATAGCTACTCATTAGTGTGATTTTCCGGTAATTTTCCAAGTACTGATTTACTCCTAGCTGTCTGCACCTTCCCTCTTTATGTGTTCTTCTTCTACGCCAATAGACGAAATTAGCCCCTGAACAAACTCTGCTTTTCCATGACTTGAAAAAGTAGCCTTCACACAACATTCAGAAGCGTGCAGTCCACCTCTTATCTACAAAAAGTTGTTTCTGCAGTTTTTGTCTTCTTTCAGAATAGCTTAGAGCATAGATTTGCTCTCAAGCAATCGTCTTCTTCAGCTACAGAAGTGCAGTGTGCTGAAAATCAGCTCGAACTTTCGGTGTGAAATTTTGATTTAATGTCGAGTAAATTTTGTCACCATGTTCCACTCTCTTCCATTCTGAACTGGCTCTGATTGCATTTATTCACTTATCATTGCACTTGACAGCTCGCTTGCGAACCCCTTGTAGTTTACTACATAAGGACGTGAATGTTTTTGAGTTGTCACATTGAATGGTGCCAATAAGGGAAAATGCAGTTTTTTGATTCTTTGTATCATCTCCGTTACAGCTCCTGGTAAATTCGTATGCAGTTTTTTACAAGTTTTAGTTCCTTTTATTTTAAGATTTGAAGATGCTTTCAGAAAGACTTGCCTGAGTCAGGTTTTTTCTTCTTTTCTTTACAGTAATTTTTGCTCTATCCGTGGATTTAATAATGGTTCAGCAGTCTTCACAACCTACCACATTCACAAGTTAATCCCTTCACAACCTACTAAACATGTTAACCCCTCCAGTTTACTCCAGTAAAAATTTGCGCAACACAAAACATTTGACTTTTATATGCTTTCGACACTGCTCCAAGTTATAGTTCCTAAGCCTTTGAGAATTGTTTCAAAACAATGCAGAGACTTATTTATCGCTAAAAGGTTTGCAGTTTCAGCTTCGGTTCTGTTTCTTGTTGTATTTTGTATATGTTCAGGATCTGTGCTTACAGAGATTATTTCAGACTTCCAGACAAATACTGTTACAGATTACGAGAAGCAATAATTCCTTGTTGATACTCCTAATCCATACTTTATTTGAGTTACTATCGCATCTCATACTTTCTATATAGGGTGACCGTAACACAAGCACTGATGCTGTATCTCGATACGTGAGCTTTTCCTTTCTTTGTTTTTCTGAATGTGGCGAAAAAACTGCACAAGCATTCGCCAGACTTATATGACTGGATTCTGTATCGTTCCAAGAAAGACGTTGGAAAGTTGCCGTATAACGTCTCGTCTCGAGTGAAATTCCTCACGAATAACAACGAACATTCCAACTTTGTGATTGGACATCGTAGTCCTGCGCTGTTAAACTACGTAGAGGGATGTCATCGTTTAATTGCTAGATTCATGCGTAAATGTATCATTAATTATTAGGTCGTTCCGTAAGTTCGTAACGTTTTTATTCTTGCCGTCGTTTTCTGGTGAACAGTTGGTTTACGGCAAAGTGTTCTGTATTATTCGAGAGCGCCAAATTTGCTCTGCAGAACCTGCTTTTTGAATTCGAAGCAATCCTAATGATCTTTGATCTATAACTTCTCAAAGGAAACCTTTCTTGAATGGCAGAAAATGGCGATTTCGACACTTGTACTTTCGAATTCCGTCCATATCCCAAAAATATTAGGTCGGTGCAAAAGTTTTGTCAGTTTATTCAGTCCATCGGTAAACACGCTAGAATGAAGATAAAGAAACGTTTCAAAATGTATCCAATGCAGAATTTCATTGTCTTTCCAGCTGCTAAATTCCCATTGTGTTTTGTTGCGAGAGTGACGAGATATTTGCTGGAAACTACAACCACTCGTTTTCACCATGTCCAATTTTCGCTAATTTTCGAAATTTTTGTATTAGTCTTTCGGAGGAGCCTTAATAACCAGCAGATAGGGCAAACCTTTTGCCAACTTACGCAATTTTTTTCTTTTTTTTCAGCTGCTTTTTCAGATTTTTGCTAAATAATTTTCTGAAAGTCTTGTGTTTTGGAAAAATCGCATAACCTGTTATTGCACCAAACACTGCAAAACCTGCAGAGAGCTGAGCTTTAAACACATGATTATTACTACCTCTACCATTGCAGGGTAAATGAGCGGTTTTCGCTTCAAAATATGAAGATTTTGAAACATAGATCACGTCAGTGCGCACTCCTAAAATTGAGAAATACTGCGATTTTCCTTCACAAATTTCGCCTGTCTCGGCAAAAAAAGACAGGTGTTAGAAAGAGGAGAAAAATTTGCATCGAATGGTGACTGAACTGCTTAACATTTTATGTTCTACGAGGTTAAAACAGGCTGAATGTAAAATTTGGTCACTTCAAAAAATAAATCGTAGAAATTCTGAAAGACAAGCGCTACAAAAAATTGCTTCTGTTGGCAAAAGGTTTGCCCTATCTGCTGGTTATTAAGGCTCCTCCGAAAGTCTCATACAAAAATTTTAGAAATTAGCGAAAGTTGGATTCGTAAAAACGGGTGGTTGTACTTTTCCGCAAATATCTCGTTACTCTCGCGAAGAAACACAATGAGAGTATAGCAGCTAGAAAGACAATGAAATTCTGCATTGGATACCTTCGAAGCGTTTGTTTATCTTCATTCTAGCGTGTTTGCCGATGTACTGAAAAAACTGACAAAACTTTTGCACCGACCTAGTATTTCTCTGCATGTATAGTCGGAGTAGCTAGTAACAAGCAAGGCTGATGTGCTGACACAATGGTGTCCAGCTAATATGCTAAGAACTCTTTGAACGAAGTCTCAGTAGTTCCCGTCTTCGACTGCAGCAGCTTGAGTTTTACGCGTTGTTTCGTAACAGAATGCTCTCGTCCTGCTGTCAGGTCTTGAGCGATGAACAGCTTTGTCTAAGTGGCGAAAAAGTTCAAATGCAAGCGTTGATCAGCGTTCTAGCTTTTCAAGAAAATTTGGCTCAGAAAACTTCCTCATTCACGCCAAACGCAAAACGTCCACTCATACGGTAAATGGGCGCTCTATCCTTCCTGTAGCGTCTCCCTTGACAAAAAATCTATTTCTATGTGCATCATTGTCCGGTAAACAGTCGTTCCTCATCACTCATAACAATTTCAAATGGAAAGTTCCTCTGATGATTTCCGTATATGGGGCTGAAGATGCAGATGTCGAAACGCCATTTTTTGCAATACAACTTGCTCTGAGCAGTTACAAAACGAAGGTCATCAGGTTTATTTTGAAAATAAAACGCAGGTCTTGTGGAACAGAACTGACTCTTTGGGATAGTACAGATACCTTGCCGTAAACCAACCGCTTCACCAGAAAACGACGACAGAAAAAAAACGCACGAGCTTATGGAACGATTTAATATGAAGTCCACTCTCTCGCTAAGCTGTACCTGCACATTTCATACGCAATCTTCGCACATCTCTGGCTCCATTTATGGCTATTTTCCTTTCCCTTCGTTATCCTCATCCAAGCGTATGTCGTCACTAGAAAACCTTATGATACATTTTCAAATTCCATCTGATACCATTCTTGCCTCAATCTGTTTTACATATCATCCATGGCTATCTCACTCTTTTGCCTAATCAAGTCAAGCAAGTCTAGTTGTGATCATCTTCTTTCATGGCATCGCATTCTCTTGTTTCACCTCACTGCCTCCTATTCGTATATTACAGAATACTCCAGTCAAGATGCAGTAACGGTTTGTTTGAATAAGTTTTTTTATAAACAAGACAGAGGTATGTTTTCGACTTCTTTGAACTTTTCTTATTGCATGTGCATGCTGCATGATATAAGGCCGCTGGTTTTCTAGATTTCGTATAATGCTTTTTGACGTACACCATGATAAAGATCAGCTTTGTTTGTTTTAGTTGTTTCCTCACAAACAGCGGAGCCGTCTTCAGCCGAGAACAAAGGTAAAACAAATAGAGATTCGGTGCTAACAAATGTAATGTCGACTTTTGTGGAGTACGTGCTTAGACATACATGACTTTTTGCACTACATGTAAAAAAGAGACCGTTATACGTTTGGTACAGCAAAATTACAATATCAGGAAAACTTGCTTGGAAGACTTTATTGATCCGCTTATCTGGGATGAAGCAGCTCAATGATCTTTGTAAAATTCGATTCATCACAAGTTTTTCTTAACAAAAGCGAAAGAAACTTTGATGTAACCGAAAGTGGAATTATTAGGTTGGCTAATAAATAAGTTCGGTCGCTTTTTCCTCTTACAAATGCTGTAAACAAATTTTTGTCCACTGTTTGGTATCTCTGGAAAGAGCAATACAATGATATTGGAGCATCCATTCTGTTTAAGTAAAACTTACCTTCCAAGGAAATAAATCCACAAAGAAGTGAGAAAGCGCAATTTTCTCATAATGCGCAAATATGAGGAAATTTGGTACTCATGGTGAAACATTTTCAGAGTGGCAGATCACAATTTTTTTTGTTGATCACTAAATAGGGAAAACTCTTCTGTATCCAAATACCAAACTGCTGTTCTTTACATCCTTACAGCATAAAGACGCCTTAAAGTCAAATTGAGCTTTTGGAAATTTTGCCATGTTGAGGCATAATTGTTTTTAATGATGATAGGAAATCCTGAATATTTGAAGTATGATAGAAGAAACTCCGAACTACTTTCCCACAAAGAATCATATATAGAAAACAACAAGAAAAATTTTTTTTGTGATGATTTGTATGCCAAAACGAACTCATTTTTTAACCAACCTAGTAATAGATTACTTAAGTGAAAGAGTTTTTCGATTCGGAAACTGCATGCGAAGAATCTCAATTACATATTACAGACCAGACCAATGCAAAAGGGCAAGAAAAAGTGGAAGATGACGTGACTGCAAAAGGACAAGAAATCTCTGAATTGTCAGAAGATACAGCGTAAGTTATTGAAGATGATATGTTAAAGAAGTTACTCATATAACTCAACAAAACACTCAAATTGCTCTGTAAAATTACTCAAATTTTGCTCGTGTTTAGAGCAGGATAAATCGTTGTAATATGCTGACTTCCAGAAAGGACCACGATGAGCACTCAGTGAACGAAAACAAACGAAAACGCGTGAAATCGCAGAGACGTCTAACTCAAAGTCTTCGACTTCCGCAAGCAGATCCGAACTCTGAGGACACATTTGCGGAAGAAGAAAATTTTGGAGGAAGTGACAGTCACGAAAACGAGCTTGTAGCAGAGCTCGAAGAGATAGCCAATGCGGAAGTGGAACAGAACACAATACCAACAGAGGAGAGCAAGCAGGGCCCGAAGAACGTGGCTCAAATCACCCCTGAAGTAGCAAATGGTAATGAAGCAAGCAATGTTAAACAGAGCGAAGAAGGTGCTGATAAACGTACAGGAGTTGTCAGTTACGAAGAAAGACGACTGGAGGGTATCCTGATCAAACCAGAATCATTTGAAGGAAAAGGTTACGTTAGAAAAGAGTCTCAGACCGTTCAAGCAAGTTACCATGAATGCACCATTAATGCTGAGTTCACAAGAAAAACATTGCCATTGGAAGCTACACTAAATTCTGGCAGAGAGATGAGCCAGCAAAGAGCTTCTACCAAAAACAAGAGAAAATATGCGGAGAAAAACAAGAAAACGGTATCATTCAATGAACAAGTAGAGTACTCGGAAGTGACAATCAATTCCAAACACAACGCAAAAGACAAAGATTTGTATACAATGACTTCTTTAAAAGATTTTGAGCTGTGTAGTACAAGACTCGAAGAAAAGACGACTACATCAAGATTGAGGAAAGGCGGCGATCTAATGGAAGCTTCATTAACTAAATCGGACCCACAAGAAGCGTCCACCCAGTACTCGGAAATTTCGACATCGTCAAAAAAACTTACAAGCAATGAAGAAGAAAGCGTTTGTGTAGTAATGGAACAGAAAACCAACTTTGAAACCAGTTTTGACGGCAAGTGTGAAAAGCATCCATCGGCGAGAATAGAAGAACCACAAGACATTCTGAAAACCGAAGTGGATCCTACAACAGCAGAATTTTTTCAACTAAACACTAGCTTACATGATTACAACAACGTCAGCAATGCTGCAGGAAAGCTGCTCCTGTCTCCTTCTGAAACTACATTTCTTAACCAGCCATCAATTGAAGAAAACTTGCAAGAAGCAGTGACATTTCACGATAGAGGTTCATATACAAAAGGAACCAAAAATGACTCCAGAAAAGAGAAGAAGGACACCATTCAACACTCTACAGAAGCTGCACAAGAAATCGTTAATCAGACAATCTCCAAGGAAGCTGCTACAACACTTTCGAGTATCACGAAAGAGGACCAGACAAAGAAAGCTACAGGTACGACATGTATTCGCATATCTTGCTTATTAAATATTTCAGTTCCGAACTAAATACATAGATGTTTATATCTTGGAATTTATCTCATTGTGGTATAATAATCGTGCACGTTCAGCATGTATGATCCCTCTGTCGGCTTACAACAATTCCCACTCAACTTTCACATTTCTGTTCTACTAATAATGCAAGTAACACAGCTAAGACAATTTCGAGCAACGCATTCAGTTAATCACTCAAGTAAAATAACTGTGTTGTACTTTACGTTGCACTACCATTAGTTTATGACTAGGAACTTTCCATAGAGTCATCATGTCAATGCATTGTAGCTACACTCGTGGCACAGATTTCAAAAGATTTATGAAACTAGGAAGCTTCTCACAGAAGAATGAAGATGATAGGAGTGGGGAAACAGTCAAGAATAAGAAAAGATATGCAATCTACTTCTTCTTTCCTGTCAACACCTCTCTCTCACTTTCAACCTTGGAAAGACTGTCTTATCCCAAATACCATTCCATGCGACCGCCTAAAGGAGATGGCTAGAGAGGTAAGAATGTTACATTAATTTTCAATGTAGTAGTTCTGGAGAACAGAATGCTATTTCATAATATAAATGTGAGCTTCTTGTAAACTTCTTGCCTTCTCCTATTCTCCTCGCAATTTTTTTCGCCTTTCCTGCTTCATTCCATCCATTCTATCATCTTGCCCTTCCCCAAAATCGCTATTGAATGAAAATGTTCTACGAACGCGGGTTTGGGACACAATGCCAACTCCTCAAGTCAAAACTATAATATGTGACGAGTGCGAACGTGAAGTTTTCTATATATCTTTCAGAAATTCCCGTAAACGGAACCTATATGATTTTGCTTCTTTTGAATATCTTGAGGATTGACCCTATTTGGTGGCGCAAGTTCCTGCCAGAAGCTTACGACGTGTCAAGTCACTAATTATAGTGAAAAAAGTCGATTAGTACATGCACCCTTATAATTCTCAACTTATTTAGCAACATCTTCCTAAAAATTGTCCTAGAATTCGACGAAAACCATATAGATTCAGACCCTTAAAAGCGTAACTGAAATCTTAAAAGTATAAAACCCAAGGAAATAAATAAGCCTTAGCAAATAATCAGGATGTTACTTTACCATTCGGAATCTGCGTCAATCATATAAAAGTCTTAAGAAGCGTTTTGTATCATTTTCTGAAGACATTTATTTACAGATACCCAAGCAAACACTCCGAAAGAGAGTTGGGCAAGCTGCAAACTGATAATGGTGGAGAACACCGTAGAAGACTTTGAGGCCAAATTTAGCTGCGATGTTGTTTCCCGTGCAGTAGCAAACAAAGACATACTTGACAAAACGGAAAAGAAGATGGAGGTTTTAAAGAAAGTTGCCAGTGAAGCAGATTCTTGTGCTGCTCCGAGCAAGCACACTCCTAACGAAACCACTGAGAAGGAGGAGATGCCTACAAATATCAGTGACTCAAGTCCACGCACTACTATAAGAAAACACTCCGAAGAAACGAACAAGAAGGACAAAGTTAAGGCGAGGGTTAGTGAAGTAAAGTCACACACTGTTGCGAGCAGGCACACTATTGAGAAAGAGAAGCTCAAAACCATTCTGAGGAGTAACAAAGGAGGTAAACATGCTTCAGATTGCACCGACACTACTGGCGAGATCAAGAAGAAGTACGGGAACTTTACAAAAGGTGAGCGAGCAACAGATATGCATGCTCTTACAAGCAAGACTGCTGCCGAAGAAAACAATCCCGAAACTATTGCAAAGGCTGGTGATGCGAACATACATGCTCCTGCACCCAACTACACTACAGGAAAAACGAAGAAGCCGGAAAATATCTCAAAGACTAGTGAGGAAAGTTCGTGTGCAGTTGCAAGCAAGCACACTGCTGGCGAAGCGAAGAAGGCGGAAACCACTGCGAAGACCACTGCAGCAGATCCACTTGTTACTGAAGACAAGCACACTTCTGACGAGGTGAAGAAGTCAGACGCTACTGCGAAGACAAGTGAGGCGGAGGCGGAAAGCACAGCGAAGAACAATGCAGGAGATCCACTTGCTACTGAAGACAAGCACATTTCTGACGAGGTGAAGAAGTCAGACGCTACTGCGAAGACAAGTGAGGCAGAAGAGAAAACCACTGCGAAGACCATTACAGCGCATCCACATGCTAATGAAAACAAGCACACTTCTGTCGAGGTGAAGAAGTCAGACGCTACTGCGAAGACAAGTGAGGCAGAGACGGAAAGCACTGCGAAGAACAATGCAGCAGATCCACTTGCTACTGAAGACAAGCACATTACCGACGAGGTGAAGAAGTCAGACGCTACTGCGAAGACAAATGAGGCAGAGGCGGAAACCACTGCGAAGACCACTGCAGCAGATCCACTTGCTACTGAAGACAAGCACATTTCTGACGAGATGAAGAAGTCAGACGCTACTGCGAAGACAAGTGGGGCAGAGGCGGAAAGCACTGCGAAGACCACTGCAGCAGATCCACTTGCTACTGAAGACAAGCACATTTCCGACGAGGTGAAGAAGTTAGACGCTACTGCGAAGACAAGTGAGGCAGAGGCGGAAAGCACTGCGAAGAACAATGCAGCAGATCCACTTGCTACTGAAGACAAGCACATTACCGACGAGGTGAAGAAGTCAGACGCTACTGCGAAGACAAGTGAGGCAGAGGCGGAAAGCACTGCGAAGACCACTGCAGCAGATCCACTTATTACTGAAGACAAGCACATTTCTGACGAGGTGAAGAAGTCAGACGCTACTGCGAAGACAAGTGAGGCAGAAGCGGAAAGCACTACGAAGACCACTGCAGCAAATCCACTTGCTACTGAAGACAAGCACATTTCTGACGAGATGAAGAAGTCAGACGCTACTGCGAAGACAAGTGAGGCAGAAGAGGAAACCACTGCGAAGACCATTACAGCGCATCCACATGCTAATGAAAACAAGCACACTTCTGTCGAGGTGAAGAAGTCAGACGCTACTGCGAAGACAAGTGAGGCAGAGGCGGAAAGCACTGCGAAGAACAATGCAGCAGATCCACTTGCTACTGAAGACAAGCACATTACCGACGAGGTGAAGAAGTCAGACGCTACTGCGAAGACAAGTGAGGCAGAGGCGGAAAGCACTGCGAAGACCACTGCAGCAGATCCACTTATTACTGAAGACAAGCACATTTCTGACGAGGTGAAGAAGTCAGACGCTACTGCGAAGACAAGTGAGGCAGAAGCGGAAAGCACTACGAAGACCACTGCAGCAGATCCACTTGCTACTGAAGACAAGCACATTTCTGACGAGATGAAGAAGTCAGACGCTACTGCGAAGACAAGTGAGGCAGAAGAGGAAACCACTGCGAAGACCATTACAGCGCATCCACATGCTAATGAAAACAAGCACACTTCTGTCGAGGTGAAGAAGTCAGACGCTACTGCGAAGACAAGTGAGGCAGAGGCGGAAAGCACTGCGAAGAACAATGCAGCAGATCCACTTGCTACTGAAGACAAGCGCATTACCGACGAGGTGAAGAAGTCAGACGCTACTGCGAAGACAAATGAGGCAGAGGCGGAAACCACTGCGAAGACCACTGCAGCAGATCCACTTGCTACTGAAGACAAGCGCATTACCGACGAGGTGAAGAAGTCAGACGCTACTGCGAAGACAAATGAGGCAGAGGCGGAAACCACTGCGAAGACCACTGCAGCAGATCCACTTGCTACTGAAGACAAGCACATTTCTGACGAGATGAAGAAGTCAGACGCTACTGCGAAGACAAGTGGGGCAGAGGCGGAAAGCACTGCGAAGGCCACTGCAGCAGATCCACTTCTTACTGAAGACAAGCACATTTCTGACGAGGTGAAGAAGTCAGACGCTACTGCGAAGACAAGTGAGGCAGAGGCGGAAAGCACTGCGAAGACCACTGCAGCAGATCCACTTGCTACTGAAGACAAGCACATTTCTGACGAGATGAAGAAGTCAGACGCTACTGCGAAGACAAGTGAGGCAGAGGCGGAAAGCACTGCGAAGAACAATGCAGCAGATCCACTTGCTACTGAAGACAAGCGCATTACCGACGAGGTGAAGAAGTCAGACGCTACTGCGAAGACAAATGAGGCAGAGGCGGAAACCACTGCGAAGACCACTGCAGCAGATCCACTTGCTACTGAAGACAAGCACATTTCTGACGAGATGAAGAAGTCAGACGCTACTGCGAAGACAAGTGGGGCAGAGGCGGAAAGCACTGCGAAGGCCACTGCAGCAGATCCACTTCTTACTGAAGACAAGCACATTTCTGACGAGGTGAAGAAGTCAGACGCTACTGCGAAGACAAGTGAGGCAGAGGCGGAAAGCACTGCGAAGACCACTGCAGCAGATCCACTTGCTACTGAAGACAAGCACATTTCTGACGAGATGAAGAAGTCAGACGCTACTGCGAAGACAAGTGAGGCAGAGGCGGAAAGCACTGCGAAGAACAATGCAGCAGATCCACTTGCTACTGAAGACAAGCACATTTCTGACGAGATGAAGAAGTCAGACGCTACTGCGAAGACAAGTGAGGCAGAGGCGGAAAGCACTGCGAAGGCCACTGCAGCAGATCCACTTATTACTGAAGACAAGCACATTTCTGACGAGGTGAAGAAGTCAGACGCTACTGCGAAGACAAGTGAGGCAGAGGCGGAAAGCACTGCGAAGACCACTGCAGCAGATCCACTTGCTACTGAAGACAAGCACATTTCTGACGAGATGAAGAAGTCAGACGCTACTGCGAAGACAAATGAGGCAGAGGCGGAAACCACTGCGAAGACCACTGCAGCAGATCCACTTGCTACTGAAGACAAGCACATTTCTGACGAGATGAAGAAGTCAGACGCTACTGCGAAGACAAGTGAGGCAGAGGCGGAAAGCACTGCGAAGAACAATGCAGCAGATCCACTTGCTACTGAAGACAAGCACATTTCTGACGAGATGAAGAGGTCAGACGCTACTGCGAAGACAAGTGGGGCAGAGGCGGAAAGCACTGCGAAGGCCACTGCAGCAGATCCACTTATTACTGAAGACAAGCACATTTCTGACGAGGTGAAGAAGTCAGACGCTACTGCGAAGACAAGTGAGGCAGAGGCGGAAAGCACTGCGAAGACCACTGCAGCAGATCCACTTGCTACTGAAGACAAGCACATTTCTGACGAGATGAAGAAGTCAGACGCTACTGCGAAGACAAATGAGGCAGAGGCGGAAACCACTGCGAAGACCACTGCAGCAGATCCACTTGCTACTGAAGACAAGCACATTTCTGACGAGATGAAGAAGTCAGACGCTACTGCGAAGACAAGTGGGGCAGAGGCGGAAAGCACTGCGAAGACCACTGCAGCAGATCCACTTATTACTGAAGACAAGCACATTTCTGACGAGGTGAAGAAGTCAGACGCTACTGCGAAGACAAGTGAGGCAGAGGCGGAAAGCACTGCGAAGACCACTGCAGCAGATCCACTTGCTACTGAAGACAAGCACATTTCTGACGAGATGAAGAAGTCGGACGCTACTGCGAAGACAAGTGAGGCAGAGGCGGAAAGCACTGCGAAGAACAATGCAGCAGATCCACTTGCTACTGAAGACAAGCACATTTCCGACGAGGTGAAGAAGTTAGACGCTACTGCGAAGACAAGTGAGGCAGAGGCGGAAAGCACTGCGAAGACCACTGCAGCAGATCCACTTGCTACTGAAGACAAGCGCATTACCGACGAGGTGAAGAAGTCAGACGCTACTGCGAAGACAAATGAGGCAGAGGCGGAAACCACTGCGAAGACCACTGCAGCAGATCCACTTGCTACTGAAGACAAGCACATTTCTGACGAGATGAAGAAGTCAGACGCTACTGCGAAGACAAGTGGGGCAGAGGCGGAAAGCACTGCGAAGGCCACTGCAGCAGATCCACTTATTACTGAAGACAAGCACATTTCTGACGAGGTGAAGAAGTCAGACGCTACTGCGAAGACAAGTGAGGCAGAGGCGGAAAGCACTGCGAAGACCACTGCAGCAGATCCACTTGCTACTGAAGACAAGCACATTTCTGACGAGATGAAGAAGTCAGACGCTACTGCGAAGACAAGTGAGGCAGAGGCGGAAAGCACTGCGAAGGCCACTGCAGCAGATCCACTTATTACTGAAGACAAGCACATTTCTGACGAGGTGAAGAAGTCAGACGCTACTGCGAAGACAAGTGAGGCAGAGGCGGAAAGCACTGCGAAGACCACTGCAGCAGATCCACTTGCTACTGAAGACAAGCACATTTCTGACGAGATGAAGAAGTCAGACGCTACTGCGAAGACAAATGAGGCAGAGGCGGAAACCACTGCGAAGACCACTGCAGCAGATCCACTTGCTACTGAAGACAAGCACATTTCTGACGAGATGAAGAAGTCAGACGCTACTGCGAAGACAAGTGAGGCAGAGGCGGAAAGCACTGCGAAGAACAATGCAGCAGATCCACTTGCTACTGAAGACAAGCGCATTACCGACGAGGTGAAGAAGTCAGACGCTACTGCGAAGACAAATGAGGCAGAGGCGGAAACCACTGCGAAGACCACTGCAGCAGATCCACTTGCTACTGAAGACAAGCACATTTCTGACGAGATGAAGAGGTCAGACGCTACTGCGAAGACAAGTGGGGCAGAGGCGGAAAGCACTGCGAAGGCCACTGCAGCAGATCCACTTATTACTGAAGACAAGCACATTTCTGACGAGGTGAAGAAGTCAGACGCTACTGCGAAGACAAGTGAGGCAGAGGCGGAAAGCACTGCGAAGACCACTGCAGCAGATCCACTTGCTACTGAAGACAAGCACATTTCTGACGAG